ATTGCAAAGACATGAACTTTGGATTTAATTTTGTGATTCGTTTCAACTCTCCAGCTTTCAACTCTATAACAATATCTCTATTCGAATCAAAAAGGCCTATATCTCCCACAACCAAACCACCAATTTCATCACATGTCGGTTGTTCATATTGTTTACTATCATCTGCTTGTCGGCCCAACAATCTCAGTTTTAAAGAAGTTAGACAACCCCTTTCGAATTTATCCCTGACTGTTCGAAAAAGTTTTACCAATTCATTTGATTCATCAAACATCTTAATCAAACCTTGAACAATGTCTTCATCAAGCTTTTCATTCCTTTCTTTACAATTAACAGCATTAAGGCGATTCATTGTTTCATTATGGGTGTCATATATGTAAAGCTGAGCAAATTTTGGACATTCACCTTCAAGGGGTAACAAAGAACCCATTAAATGATGAACTTGACCACTAATTTTAAAAATGTAAGGACCTGGTCCACTGTTAATTGAGTGATCAACTTTGGCTCCCATTGAAGTAAATGCAAACATAGAATTATAGGCCCTGATATTCTCTCTAAACAGCAAACTTTTTGGGCCTTTACTCGGATCAAGTAAATTTTCTAAAAAAGGAGGTGTTGGCTTTGAAATCGGAAGTTTGATCTTTCCTTGTTGACAACAAAGAGTAAAAAGAGGCTCATTGGCTGCATTTGCTTTTTTAACAGATTCTTTGAACCAAAAAAGTGCACCACAATAAATGCACTTATAATTTTTATCTCCCAAATCCACATACTGTTCCATCATTCCTACAAAGAAAGGAAACATAGAACAGGGCAAAAAGAGAAAAAAATAAGACAAATGTATGCCATGAGTAATATAAAGATAGGGTTTAAAATAAATATTTAACAGAGGGAAAAACGCACTTTGCCTCTTCCTCTGATAAAATGCTTGACCCCTATTCATCTGATCAGAAATGTCAAATGAAATCTCTTCTCTGGTTGTTTGACTTGTGCTAGCTTGCTGCACTATGAAAGCTCTATTGGAAACTCTGGTTCCAGAAATTTTTTTGGCTTGATGCTTATGCTTAGTATTAGTGCAACAAACATTTTCATGACAGAGTTGTGCACCACTCGAAGTGGTAGAAATATGGGTTTCCTGTGTTCTCAGCCTTTTTCTGGTTTTTGCAATCCTTTTAGACATGATATCCAAAAATTACAAATTCCAACCAACAGATCGATAGCTGGGAAGGGAAAAAAAAAATGCATGAGTTAACTTATAATATTTTTATTACATCTATAGCCTAATCAAGCAAAATGGACACACACCAACAGTACTACAGCTATAAAAATAAGATTTTTCAAACAACACAACATCTGAAAACAAATTAAACACAATTTCTGCAGCCTAACCAAGCAAACCAGATATACGCAAGAACATCATAACCACAGAAATAACAATTTTCAAATGAAACAATATCCAAAAACCAATTTTCTACAGTTGATATGCATGACTTCTTCAGAAGACGAATAGAAAACTGACCTGTTGCCTAACAACAATGGGAAGAGCTATCAAACAGTCGAAAACGCAGTTAAGACAACACCTATAACAAACGCAACCGAAAAAATGAAATCAAGGAATAATCAAAAGAGCAAAAAATAAAAACATACAGATTCTGTTTGTGATTATGGTTTCAAAGCACATGACTTATATATACATTCTGATTAATATATATATATATACACACACATACATGCTCTAAATAAAATGTAAGAAAAACCGAAGTAACAACACATTAAAAGCAGCAACTTCTAAGCTAATTACTTTTGAAAATTTCAAACTTTCATATATATATATATATATATATATGTATAGAGAGAGAGAGAGAGAGAGAGAGAGAGAGAGAGAGAGAGAGAGAGAGAGAGAGAGAAATTACCCATGCAAAAGCCAAGGTTCTCGCCAAGATCAGCAACAAAAATTGTATCTGTCAATTACAACCAAGGTCAAAAAATCGTAGGCAAAGATATTGACACATGGTGTATCCTTAATTATATAACTGATCTGTTATATTTGAGTATCCTATTAACTCTAAAAAGTTAGTGATAAAGTTGGTGATTTAGTTTGTTAGATTATAGATTTCTTGATTAGTAAGAATGAGCAGCCTGAGACTATGAATTACATATAGTCTCAGCTAGCTTTCATAAAATCTTTAAGAGAGGTATCACTCAGCCAAAAGAAAAGTAGATACCTTTAATCAATAGTGAGCAATGAAATTATGCCTTTTTTTTTCTAAGCAAATTAGTTGAAAATAAAATATCAGAAGCAAGATTGGTCTCTAGGGATTTCAATTATCATCACATCTTATACTTCGGGTTCAAGCATGGCATAAACAGTAATTGAGAACAAAAACAAAGATTTTATTGACACTTAACCAATGAGATATTCCTAGCATACATTAAACCTAACTATTTTG